CCAGGAGCGCCGCCGGCGCGTCCGTGCCTGTCTGGGCTGCCGCCGCGCTCGTGGGCGTGCGCGGCTGCCCCAGGAGCGCCACCGCCATGCGCGCCTCCTCCAGGAGCGCCGCCAGCGCGTCCGCGCCTGTCTGGGCTGCCGCCACGCTTTCGTGGGAGTCTTGCGCGTACGCCCATCGCGCCAGCCAAGGCTGCCGCCTTCCTCTCTAGCAGCTCGAGGTCCGCGTCGGGCGGTGTCGCTCGTGAAATGGAGCTGCCGATCTTTGCCCGCCTGAAACCTCGACCTCATTGCCGCCGCCTTGACGCGCCGCATTCGCCGCCGCCACGCTTTCGCCTCGCTCTTCTGGCTGCTGCCGCTCCGTCATTGCCACCTCGGCGCCGCTTGTTGCCGCCGCCAGCTGTCTCTGCCATTGCTCGCTCGCGTTCCTCTGCCATGCAGCAAGTTCGGCCTCTACCGACGCCAAGCAGTTCAAGCGGCCGAAGGCCGAGATCGCCTGCCGGACATGACGCTACTGGGGTTGTTCTTTGCGTGGGGAGAGAAACTGCCAGACGAGCCTGCTCGCCTATGCAGAGGAGAGAGGAGAGGCGGGCGGCCGGAGGAGTTGTTGTTGCACAATTGGGGTGTTAATAAAATCTGGGGGGGAGATGAGCGAGGAGATGCTCGAGCTACAGGATAGTACGGCTTTGATACCAGTTGTTAGTCGTTGAACTCTCACTCTCGGTAGTAGCAGAATTCTTACTCTCATCGAGAGAGGATGACACTATGAGTTGGGGCACCAAACACCCGAAGGTGGGAGTAGGAGGGATGAGAGCCGAACAAGGCGAAGTGAGGAGTGGCGAACTCCAGAGTTTTAGTGGGGAGACAGTTTAGTAAATAAGTGGCAGTGTGAAGGCCTTTAACCCAGTAGGAAGTAGGCAAGGAAGCTTGGAAGAGAAGGGAGCGCACAATATTGTTAATGGAGCGAAGAATGCGTTCAACCTTGCTGTTTTGGGAGGTGTAAGGACAGGACATCCGTAGAAGAACACCGTGAGTGAGGAAGAAAGAGCGGGCGGAGGAATTGTCAAATTCACGCCCATTGTCGCACTGGACGTTTTTTATGGTGCAGCCAAACTGAGTGGTCACGTACGAAAAGAAATTTGCCAAGGTAGAAAAAGTCTCGGACTTGAGCCGCAAAGGGAAAGTCCAGAGAAAGTGAGAGTGATCGTCAAGAATAACGAGATAATATTTATACCCGGACACACTCTTGATAGGAGAGGTCCACAAGTCACAATGAATTGAATCGAAATTCTTAAGAGCACGAGATAAAGAGTTGGCAAATGGTAAGCGAATATGACAACCAAGTTGACAAGCATGACACAGTTGATCCCTAGAGTGATGAGTACATGAAATAGCAGAAACACTAGATAGTTTGAAGAGTGCTTCATGGCCAGGATGCCCAAGACGACGATGCCAAACAGCAGCTGGAGCAGCAGCGATGAGGGCACATGAAGAGGAGGAAGCGGCCGACGGCATCAAGGAGTAAAGGGGTCCGGAGCTATTGCACTTGATGATCTCGTTCCTGGAATGAAGATCCTTCACAAAGAGACCAAAAGGATCAAACTCAAGTAATGGGTTGTTATCGGTAATGAATTGTCTAATGAAATGAGGTTCTTAATAATGTTGGGAGCAACAAGAACATTATTAAGACGAAAAGGTTCTGGAAGGACAGCATCACCCGTAGATGTCACAGGAAGAGTGGAACCATTTCCAACAACAATGGATGAAGGACAAGTAAAATGAGGTGGTTTGAAAAGAGAAATGTTACTAGCATCAAAGGTCATATGATTAGAGGCGCCGGATCCATGACCTAGTTAGTGACAAGAGGCGGAGTGAGGCTCATGGTGCTCAAGGAGTTGGCGAGAGCCTGCCGATTCCAGGAGCCGGTCTAGGGAGACTGGGAAGGGCCTGGTACACACTGCTATTGCAGGGCTGCCGATGGTACTTGTTCTTGGTTCATGGAAAAAGCCAGGCAATCAAGATGGGTGGAAAGCCCGTGGCGGAGGGATGCCAGTAGGGATTGAGCGCCGCCATGAATGCTTGCTGAGGTGCAGGGTGACCGGGCGCCCATCCGGAGGAGGACCACGGGGCTGCTGCTGCTGCTGGCCACCAGAGTGGGCCACACGGTGAAGGAGCCCGTCCAGGGGTTGTAGAAGGAGGGCCAAGGGGAGCCACCACAGGCTGCCGTTGCCACCTTTGCCGTGTTTCCCACGGCGATGATGCCGCTTACCGCCATTGCTACTGTAAACCGCACCAACACCGTGGTGGTTGGGGACCGGTGCGCCGGAGCCCGATTGGAGGCACCGTGGAGAGAGGGGTCCCAGTTGCGCGCACACAGGGGAGGTGTTGGTGGCGCTGGACTTTGGTCATGCGGCGAGGAGAGCCGTCGGTGGCTGGGACACAGGGGGGTTCCAGCGTGAGCTCTTCAAGTTGGAGATCATTGTGGACTTCATTGAACGTCGGGAACGGACGAGTCCGCTTCAAGAGGGCCTTCATGTGGTCATTCTTGGCGTTGAGACCACGAAGGACATTGAGGACGAGGCGGTGCGGTCGGTGATGACCTTGCCGAGATCGCCTAGAGCATCGCCATACCTTTCATCTTGGCGCGCGATAGTCGCGGATGAGCAAAATCGCCTTAGACTTAACGCGGAACTCTATGTCGAGGTAGAGAGCGCGAGTCTCGCGGTTGCCGTGAATTGTTCCTCGATGCCAATCAAAGCGTCGCGTCTTGAGCCGCCGCGTTCACGAACGGTGTCCTGAAGTTCGACAGTGAGGGTGCCAAACAGCCAAGACAAAGACAACGCAGATCCATCCGGTGCCAAGAAGAACGGGCGGGCGGGCGTGGTGCAGAGGACATGGTCGGCAAGAGCGTATCGCTTCGAGTGAGAGCAACACTAAGTCGCGCCATCGGTTGTAGTGGGGGGACAGGAGATTGAGGACCACTGGCACGAGGGAGTGGATGTTCTGGACACCCGCAGCCTGGGCGTGGAGGTGGGCAACGAGGGCAGCTTCATTGTGGAGGAGCGTCGTCGTCGCTGAGGTTGGAGCCATCGCCTTCAAGGGCGGCGGGCGGCACGGTTCCGAGCCGTGGTAGCCGCTGCTCGAGAGGCGGCGGCCAGCGAGGCGCTTCGGCTTCGTGGCAGCGAGGGCTGCTTGGACGCAGTCTCGGGCAGCGGCGGCGGCCTGGGTAGCAGCCGGCAGCTGCCGTCTCTCTCGGCCTTCCCTTCACCAGAAGGGTGTCCTCTCTGCTAGGCTGGCAAGCGGCGGCGGCCTGCTCGTGCTCAGCTCTGCACAAGGCGAGTGGTCGCATCAGAGGGAAGCGGCAGCTCAGGGGCCATGGAGATAGGGAGATAGGGAGCGGAAGGAGACTGCAGGATCTTAAGAGTCTCGTGATACCATGATAGAGGATGAACTAGCTCTTGTATTCATACATGTTGAGTAAACCAAATTACAGGGATTTATATAGGAGCTAGACTAACACAAGAGAGAGAGGGGGAAGCACACAGGCGACAGCCAGGGAAGATTCACAGGCATCAGCCGTCTAGCAGCAAAAGGAGAAATAAATACTAGCAGTAAAGAGGGGGAGTAAGTAGGTGACAGCCAGGGGAGGTTCCTAGGCAGTCAGCTAGTAATAAAGGAAGCAGTAAACATGCTAACATTATCAACTAGCTAATTAGGGGTATATATATTGTAGCGGCCAACCGGTAGGTTATTGGAGTCACAACAATAACAAGAACAAAAGAGATTGGGAAGATAGTAAGAAGATTGATCCCAGATTATATAGATACTACCAAAGATCAGTACAAAGGAAGAAACAAGAAATGAAAGCACTAATTAGCATAGTTAACTAGCAAATTGGAAATTAATTAGCTCTTTGAGGAGGGTACAACGTGGTGGGGGTCACCAGAACATTCAGGGAGTGCCAGACTGCCCCTCCCTCCACCACTGCGTGGCACTACTGGGTGCCCGCTTTTTGTGCAAGATTCCTATTATAGAGATGTAAAGACTGGTTGTTGACCATATTATTGCAATGATAGCTGTTAACTAAGTTTGATATTCTAATATGCACTGGGCATATGTAAAATTGTGAATGCTTACAAAATACAAATCACATTTTACATTGATACTGCTGTATAGTATAGTTAGTTTCTTTTGAATGCTTTTTTGCCTGTTCTAGGCTTTGTTTTTCTCATGCTTCTCTTTACTTTATGTTGTTAACTATAGAAATTGTACAAACCTTTTCCTAACACACAGGTCCTTTCCTAATTCCTATTATTAGTGTTTGCTATGTTCAAGTTTTCCTGTTTGTTATTCCATGCTTGTCATATATATGGGATGACCCAAACTTTTGAATAAGGTTTTCATCACAACTAAGTGGAAAATAATGGAGCTTCAAGCTTAGGTAGGTGTAGGTAACATTAACTAGAGAATATTTGTTCTGCTATCTTAAAATTAGTCAAATATACGACTTGTGTTATGTGCTGTCAGACTGTCTTGAAATATGTTTCCTGTAGTAACTGGAGAAATTTCTTTTCAATGGTTACTTTGGCAATTTGAGAATCGTAGAAATATTTTATTTGTAAGTTTCTGCTCTGATTATGTTCCCATGTGCAGCCTGTTCGCTTGGTCGTATTTGGCTTATAAGCCATGGCTTATCAGCCAACGAACAGTATTTTTCTCTCACACCAAACCAGCCAACGGTACTTTCAGCCATGGCTTATAAGCCAAACAAGCCCAAACGAACAGGGCTGCAGTTTTTCTTGAGTTAGAGAACTGCGATTCTTTCTCTTTTCAGATTTGCACGCCTTCTCATTGTTGCATTTTGGTTAGCCTATTGGTTAGCCTTTTGTGCATTATTATTCTGATTCTATTATACTGATATACAACGCCTTTGTTTTCCACTATTGACATTCATGCTGAGAGGTATATCTTATCAACATCTAACTTGACTTGCTATACATTAGGTAATGCTGGATACTCTGGGTCCAGAAATTCAGGTTCACAATTCCACTGGTGAGCCAATTGAGTTGAAAGCTGGGAATCATGTTATCATAACTCCAGATATTTCTAAAGCTCCCTCTGCTGAGATCCTACCAATTAAATTTGGTGATCTTGCAAAAGTAAGTGAATAATGTGGATTACTTAAATACGTGTTATTATTTTGTGTGCTGTTGTATGGCTATATAAGCCTTTTATCCCCTTTCTTAATGCAATGATACGCAGCTCTCCTGCGTATTCCAGAAAAAATTTTCTCTCCATATTCTATTTGATGGGTTTCTTCTGCCTTTTGTGACTCCTGATATAATTTCAGGATATTTTGTGCAATAATAGAAAATTAATTAAATTTTCTGTTGTATCAGTAAAGAAACTATTTTTGAACATTTGTGTATAAGTTCGTGCTCTTATTGGCTGGTACATTTAACTGTATTGCCCTTTCTGTGAATTCAAATTCAGGCTGTGAAGAAGGGTGATACTCTTTTTATGGGCCAATATCTCTTCACAGGAAGTGAAACAACTTCTGTGTGGCTAGAAGTATGTGGATTTTTAATTTCTTCTCAAGGAAATGCCATTTTGCAGTTATCCGTTCCTTATATGTTGTAATTTGCAGGTTGTGGAGACTTCTGGGGAAAATGTAAATTGTCTAGTGAAGAATGCAGCTACACTTGCTGGCCCCATTTTCACTTTGCATGTTTCACAAGTTCACATCAGTTTGCCCACTTTGAGTGAATACGATAAACATGTAATGTGGACTATCTTTAAATTTCTTTACATAGTATTGAGTTTTATATTGCCTTTTACTTTATATGTTATCTGTCCAAACTCCAAATTGTGCTAGTAACTTATTTTGAACAATAGAAACCATAGTTCATTGCATGTCTTGTGTTATTATTTTATATTTTCATTTGATTAAGCTTTTGAAGGTATCTCTCACCAAAACTCAACCACAGAAATTTATGGTTACTTAAAGAAATTGGTTGTGTTTTCTGCTTGAGCTGTTACATGTTAATATACAGCCTGTTCGGGAGGCCGTATCGTATCGTGGATTATTTACTGTTGGCTGGTTTGGTGTGAGAGAAAAACACTGTTCCCGGCTGAAAATTTACGATCGTTTACGAGCAAGCGAACAGGCTGATACTTCGTATTAAATAATTTGTTCTGTGGTCATTCTGCATGTGGACACAAATATCATGCCACATATGAACAGGAATACCAGATGGACTTGTAAAGATATGTTTTTTCAATCTGCATGTGAATGCAATCTCTAGTTGCTGATTCATCAAATCACTTTCCTCAATCGTCATAGTTATACAGTGAATTCTTGAAAGTTTACTGTGTTATTTATTCCCATGTTGTGTTTTTAAGGCACAAGATTATACTATTATATCTTTCCAAGGTTGTCCTGAGGACAGTTTTCTTGCAATAGGTCATTTCAACTTGGGGTTCACGTAACAGCGTTGACATTATATCACTTTCCCATACCCGCTCTGCTGAAGATGTTAGGGAGGTGAGTTTTCTTTCCTATTTTTCCCAGTCTTTTGCTTGAATTAAACATCCATGTTATTGCTGATTTCCCACCTACTTCTTGGTTTTTGTTTTATGGTTCCTTCTAGTGTATCATTTATCTGATGCTTCCATATGATGTTGATTCCTTTAACAAAAATCAAATTGCAATAAGTAGTGTCTGCAAAGTATCAGCCTATTCATATATAGTTTTATTCAAGGACCATCCACTATTCACACAACTCGGAAGATAATCAATAACACAGATGCTTCTTTAAGTTAATTGAAGTACATAGTGTAAATAGTTGAAGAAAAGATAATCAACATAGATGCTTGTACATAAAAACAAATGATAGGTCAATCAATTTTTTGTTTGATCTTCATGGCACATCATGAATGCTATGCCAGTGCATTACTATTTCTCAATTCATCTGAACACATAGTGGCACCACAATAAGCTTCTGGTGCTTGTTTTCTTGGCATACAGTACCTGAGTTATTGAAGTAATTTATGAAAGTGTGGAGACTCTGCTGATCTCAGATATTTGTGATTTGCAGCTCAGAGCCTTTTTACAATCACATGCCCTTCCCGACACACAAATATATGCGAAGATTGAAAATTCTGAGGTAAACATCATGCTTTTATGAAGATACTGCCACCAGTTTGTTTCAATGCTTTTCTGATTATTGCGTTGTGCTTTTCATGTTAGGGTTTGGATCATTTTGATGACATTCTTAAAGAGGCGGATGGCATCATTATTTCTCGAGGAGACCTGGGAATTGACCTTCCTCCGGAAAACGTAAGTTCTAATCTTGTATAAAATCCCAATTTACCCTGTATATTCCTACCATTTTATCAAATATGTACATATTCATTCATGTACATCAATGATGCCTGAGTATGGCAACTCTTAAACAATGCACAATATAAATATAAGAGAAACTCCAATGTTATGGTCTGAAATTCTGTTATTGACATGCTTATTATTCCAAACTTTAAGTGACTCATTTAGGGTGTCTTTGGTTTGAGGAACCGCTCCATCTTAGATGAGGTGGTGCATCATGAGTTCATCCCTTGAATTTTGGTTGAATCTTCCTCATATGCTTGTACTGATTATTAGCTTGTGAGGTTTGATGTGGTGGAGCATCAACTCATTCTATTCCACAAAACAATACAAAAAGCTGAGTGAGAAAGATGATGGATCACCTCATTCCTCAAACCAAATACACCCTTAGTTCTTACGGGTGAAAGAAACACCTGGAAGTTCTGCTTCAACCTTTACTTTCCTGTGCAGAGTTTACACAAACGTTGTAACTGCAAATCATTCTTGCTATTTGTCATAACATGTTACTTTTGGCACTTCAGGTTTTCATGTTCCAAAAGACAGCTATTCATAAATGCAATCTGGAGGGTAAACCTGTGATCATCACTCGAGTTGTGGACAGCATGATTGACAATCTACGCCCTACCCGTGCAGAGGCAACTGATGTTGCAAATGCTGTCCTAGATGGTGAACAGTTTTACTACATTTCTACCACTTTATGAATGTCATTCTTATTTCTTGTGCTGTTCTCCAGGCACTGATGGCATTTTGCTTGGTGCGGAGACACTTCGAGGGCTTTATCCTGTTGATGCAGTGAGTACTGTGGGGAGAATATGTGCAGAAGTATGTCTCTATTTAAGAAGAAAGTATAATAGAACCATTCAACCGTCTGAAATACTTGACTAATCAATGATAAATCCTCTAGGCTGAGAATGTGTATAATCAGCCACTTCAATTCAAGAAAGTAATGTGGCATGTAGGTGACCCAATGCCCCATGAGGAATCTGTGGCATCAGCAGCGGTAAATACTATCAATTCATTGGAATGAACACAAGTTTTCAAATCTATAGAATATTAGTGATTGATCATTACTTGCTTTTTTAGGTTGGTTCTGCAATCAAAGTAAAAGCTGCTGCAATTGTTGTGTTCACATTCTCAGGGAGAGCTGCGAGGTGCTCCACTTTATTCCATGATCAGCACGTCAGTAGACACATTTCCATCATACAGAGCAATCAATTCATTTTATGCTTATCTGTCCACAGGTTAATTTCTAAGTACAGGCCAACAATGCCAGTTTTAGCAGTTATCTTCCCACGTGAAGGATCTGATCCATCAAAGTGGCGTTCTTATGGCACAACACAGGTAACTTGTATATGTCTTTGATTCTGTTGAGTTTCATGCTTGTCGTGAAGCAGGATCAGCGAACTTGTGTGTAACCATTATTATATCACTTTCAGGCAAGGCAATGTTTCGCAGTGAGAGGCGTGTACCCTTTGATGGGGAGTACTGATGAGGTATGTCGGCATTTTTTTTAGAGCTATATGTAAACAAAACATTTGGCTAACCATGCATGGTTAATCTCCAATAGGCTGAAACTGGTGGGCTAACAAAGGAAGAGTATGGGATAAAACTTGCAGTGAGCTATGGTCGGTCAGTCGGCATAGTGAAGCCTTTCGACAGGTTGATAATCTTTGAAAAGATCGGTGATTCTTCTGTTGTCAAGATCATCGAGTGTGAAGGTTAAGCATTAGATACCTACAACCCATGCTATATTTTCATGTATGACATGGGAGATTACCTCCAGTTTTTTCTCAATTATTTAACCAATGATAACTAGATAGTACAGAGTGCACCAGATATCTTGTTAGGCGATATTGCCCCCTTTTTTTCTTCAGATTTTGTATCTTTTGATGCAATAAACCATGATGTCACAGATTCATACTGGAACTATGATTTGATAGCAAATATATAGGATTGTTGACACCATACCATGAGTTGTCGTCGCTACCTTATTCTATTGGACATCACATGATGCACTGCATAACATCCTAAAAGACAATCTTAGGACATTATCAGTTAATTAACCTATACTGTTGTCTATGGTACACTCCTGCAACCTTGCCGCCGCTGTAGTTGGTACGCTCCAATCAGTACTGCTCCTTGAAGAACACAGCATAGATGATGCTGCAGATGGAGATGATGATGATGACGATATCAAAGGTGAGCGCAGTCATGGCCTGGTCGCTGAGCTTCATGTTCTTGCCGCCGAGGCGGTCAACCATGTCCGGCACGGATTTGTAGTTGATGATGTCCTGCTCGAAGGGGTCCTCGAGCCTGGACCTGAGCTGCTGCAGGCGCCGGCTCTCGGCCTCCTGCGCCAGCGTCCAGTCGTAGAACCGCCGTGTCTCCTCCTTGCTCAGCACGTTGTACACCTCCCGCAGGCGGATGAACTTCTGCGACGCCACCTTGAGCGGCAGCGTCGTTGTGTCCGGGTGATACTCCTTGGACAGCCGCCGGTACGCCGCCTTGATCTCCTCGATGTCCGCCTCCGGCGCTATCCCCAGGAACCTGGGTTGGGTTATAACAAGTCGTGTTATATGTTTAGCCACAGATTTTGCAGTTCAGTCATGGAACATGATGGATCGCCGATAGACGATAGTAACATAGTATTGACATGATAATGACAGTATCTCGAACAGAGGTTTTGGTGTTTAATTCCAACAAATATATAAACTGGACGGCAACAAGATTGAGTGAATTTGCAGATATGAACTACGATTCAGAAAGACAGATGACGAGAATCTGATGAATTGGGATGTCGGACAAATTTGTGTTCAGAGTTTCAGTTTGAATGCAGAGATTGGGAATGAACTCAACTGGTAGTGAGACTCGGACGCGTTGTTGATGAGGTCGGCGAACCTCCCTCCCAACGGCTCGTTCTTGCTGCCGCCGCGGCCGCGGCCGCCGTCGCCTTCCTTCTTAGCGTTGCCCCCTACCCACCCTTCGTCAGGGTTGGACCAGTGTATCCTGGTGTCCACCGTCTTCTTCTTCCCTGGTCCCGCGCCGTCCGCCGTCGCTGGAGTTGGTTCGGCTTCGGGCGTGCTCGCAGCGGTGACGACGACGACGACTGCTTTCCTGCGCTGCTGGTGCCGGTGGAGGAAGGGCACGAAGGTGCGCGAGGCCGTGGACGCTGCCATGGGAAATGTGTGTGTAAGTGTCTGCGCCGGCAGCATTCGAAGGTGTGGAGGGAGTTGGTAGGTTGATGAGGCTCTTACATTCGAGCTGTGGTGGTAGCATTAGCAGGGCGATGAGGTGTCGCTGTTCACTTCGCCCATGGCCACATAATAGAAAGAAAAAGAAACGGTAGCCATAGCCCCAACGAAAAACTGCAGAAATTCTCTGCCGCAGGAACACTTGTGTTGTCAGTAAGATTGTACTGTACGCAACTAAATTCATCCGCACAGCTATCCTGACCCGAGGGGTAACAAAAATGGAGATGCGGGGGATCGAACCCCGTGCCTCTCGCATGCAAAGCGAGCGCTCTACCATTTGAGCTACATCCCCGTCTTGAATGCATTGTCAAATAAATTTTTTACATAGGAACTCAGTGATAGAAAATGAATAATGACGCAACATGTGATTTTATCTTACTGAATCATGCAGAAAGTTTATAATGCAGAAAGGAAAGGTAACATTTTATCTTGTTGGATTCCACCATATACATATGTGCTATTGTCTATCGATTAGTGTACACTTCAAAACACAAAACTACATGCCTGATTCTGTCGCTTTATTTCCTGTTGGTCTTTTTCTGTCAGTATTTTGCATTTTCCTAGGAAATCTTAGTTGCCAGTAGTGAGGTTAGTTATCCTAATAATACTGCATTGACCGTATCCTAGCAGTGATCTAGTATGCTCATCTTGATCAACATCCCAACAATTCTAGCCGTCTCCACAATATCCATATGTTCATCGGTGGAATGTAAGTTTGGCTGTGGCTTGTCGTATACGATCGTAAATTTCCAGCGGGAACAGTATTTTTCTCTCACACAAACCAGCCAGCAGTACTACTTCACGAACCAGCAACGATACGAACTAGCCAACCGAACAGGCTGAATGTGTGCTAGCCAGCACTGAGGATCCCACACTATGGTACGTAGGCTTGAGTTCATTGTGAGAGGACATCTACTTACAACTTAGAGGTGGTTTCAACCTCCATACATGTTTGCACGCTACTTCCACATTGCATAGAGTGGTGGTCTCGCAAGCAACTTGCTTGCAGAAGCAGGGAGTGCTCTATCTGACAAAAAGCTAAAGCCCCCACTTAATTGCCTTGGACATAATCTTGAGACCATACTGTCAGCATGCATGTACGTTATCTCAAAAAAGCTAGGGACCATGATTAAAAATCTGTTGGTCTCTGCGTTGGGAGGTTAGAAGTCCAATGCCTTTTTGCTTGTCTAAATGTAGTTTTTTTTTTATGAAACTAATAACTTTGTTGGCTTGCATTGATGGTGCCCTTAAAAGGCCTTGAGGTCTTGCGTCGTCACCAGGTAGATCAACACCTCAAGGGTTGGCCTCACCTTGAACCCCTCTTGAACTATTACCTCAGTAGATTGGAATAGACAAATTGTTCCCAAATACTGCCACAAATTTAAAAGTGATATTCAAAGTACAAACAATACATCGCCCTTTTTTACTTTAATTTAAAAAGTGATTGGCAAAAACTATTATCCGTCACTTTTTATTTTTTTAGACCCACTACAGATACACGGCTCATATACTTATCCCTATAAATACAAGCACGCAAATCTTATTTCTATGAGCATATCTGAAGAACTGAGTTTGACTAGAAAATCTCAAGATTAACAAAGTCACCACAGGCACCTCGTTGTCGACAGATACGTCACCTACCACTGAAAGAATGATGCTGTTAAATTATGTAATAAATTTAGAGAAATACGAGGACATGTGTCAAGAGTTTTCCATAAAAGCACATCACGTTTCTACAAAGTAACCTGGTATTATTTACACTCATAACTCTTATAGTGTAACATATTTTCTTAAGGCTCGTACACAAAAAAAAAAAAAAGATTCTCGAAAGAACGGCCTGAGAATTGCCACGACTTCTACTAGAAACACCACCACCAAACGCCCTGACCAGTGCTACCAACGAACAAAACCAACAGAGTAAAACCACCTCTGCATAAGTACTGTGAAATGTTATACATAAGTACATAGAGATCATCGGTATAGGGACAATGTTACTACCTTCGTTGTCTAAAAAGCCTACAGAGAATTTACTACTGAGTTTAGAGATGCATGACTTGGTGAGATCGGTCACTTATTACTTTGACATAGCGTGGGATTTCCTCCTCCGCTTCTTCCCGTTGATAGGGGCGGTAGAATTTTCCATCAGGTATGCTTTTGACATGGTCCGTGGCTGTGTAATCTCTGGAGCAACTGAGCAATACATTGCGCTTTGAGGGCACCAGATCTCCCTTTTGCACTCTACCGGTGCTTGTCTCTGGTCATCGTAGAAACTGTAACACCCTAGGCCCGGCACACAGCACAGGGGCCCCACCTACGTAGCAATCCGCTTGCGCTTTCGTCCTCGCTTCACGTAAAATAATTAACCGAAGGTTACTACGCATTTTTGGCCTGATTATTTAAGTCGGTCTGGCCGTCCATATGAACAGTGCTGCGCTGCAACAGTAACCCGATTTTGGCTTGGCCCGCCTTGGCGCTACAGTGCTCCCAGCTACTGATCGAACCACAGCCGACGCGTGCAGTTATAGTGCCTCGGCCCAACCGAAATTCGGCCTATTTAGACGGGGATGTTATGGAAAGCATCGTCTCCAAGATCACATTCTGTTCAACCTGCAGAAACTGGCTAGAATGTTTGTCAGGCAAGAGGTAGGGAGACACATGGCACGCCAACTTAAGAGGAAACCCATTATTATTGTCCATGGCTTTAGGCAATGCATAGCAGAATGTAGTAACTCAAATCACTGGCTGAGGAAGCACCATAATTCCGGAATTTGGGCATTCCAGATTAGGGTTATGCGGTGGGCCACAATCAGACCGGAGGTATTCCCGCATCATACGGCGGCACCACATCGACTTAGCTGACAGATCTGAACGCCATCGATGGCTTTGCGATGCTATGGTTTGATGCAACAGTCCCGTGATGGCAACGCGCGCGGCACCGAACTGTGGAGGCAGGAGGTCCAGGCAGCTCGTGGCGATGGCCAGTATGTTTTTGGCCTCTGATAGACGGAACGAGACGACCATCTTCAGGTTTCTCTGCCACGTGACCTCATCCTCACGCGACACCATGAGATACGCCTCCAGTTCGTCTTCATCATCGGCGTCTGGATCCTGCCATGGCCATAGCAGAACAAGGTCGCTGCTGCCGGTGCCGGGTCTTTGGAGGGAGAACTCCACCGAGTTGCCGGCAAGCAAAGATTGTGTCAGCGATGGCAAGGACGACGGCACGCTCCTCTCTGGACGACGACGGCCGCTGGACTCAACCACCAGCCTGAAGAAGCTATCCGCGCCGTCAGCAAGCCTCTCCAACCTTTGCAGCGTGCTGTCCCTCAACTCGTCTTCTTCTCTGCCGCTGCCGCGGAAAGGAACAAATCGTTTGGCCGCATGGATCAAGTACTGAGAAAACGAGGAGGTACCTGTGGCGCTGCGTTCCAAGGTTTTCTTCTTGTGCACATGTAAGAGGCTGTCGCCTTCCACGGCAACGCGCTTCAGCTTGGCCTTACAGTGCAGCAAGGGGAGGTGGGTGATCTGGAGGTCTTCTGAGACGGCAACGATGCATTGGATTTTCAGCACTGCCATCTCCAGCCTCTCAGCTTTGTCTTCGGCACTCTGGTGACTAGCAGTTCTGTCGCCTGATACGAGGGTGGATATCCTGCTCACTGCCTCGCTAGCCACCGCAGATGCTACGATTTCTGCCATTAGTATCTAGTTGAAACTTGAAAGAGAGGGAGAGGGGTCTTCACTCTTCAGCAGCAACTAAGGAGCTATTGCTTCAGCATCTGTACTAACTTCCTCTAAGCAGATGAAATGATTGGTCACTATTGATAGTCAAACAAAGCAGGCTACATCAGAAAGGCGGTGTAGTCAGAAAGCTGTCCCTGGTGAACCAGTGAGAGAAAAATTCTTCATCTCTATTAAGTGAAGATGGTGATTGGGAGACATGTGGGCAAACAGGAAAGCCTAGAAGCGACGTCTAGGTCGCCAAGGCCCTGAGTTTCATCAGTGTCGGAGAACCTGACCTGAGCAGTGACGTCGCCAAGGCCTTGAGTTTCATCAGTGTCTGCAGGTGATCCGAATCGGAGTGTGACAGTGACACCCAAAACTTTTCGGCGACACAACACAGGAGTGCGACAGAGGTAGCATATATCTCCCGCCGATATGCGTTAAGTTGCCGAGACCTACTGGTGGATGAACGTGGCAAAATCTAAGCTGGTGAGTGCGAATCCAAAAACGCAATCGTGTGTTGTTTTTAGTCGTATATATTATATATAGTAATATAAACAATAAATACATAGATGAACATTAGTACCACAGGGAGGGAGGGAGATCCAGGAATTTTACGTAGTACCAAAAATACATACATACATACATATATATATATATATATATATATATATATATATATATATATATATATATATATATATATATATATATATATATATATATATATATATATATATATATATATATATATATGTAATATATAAGTCCCAAAATATATGTAGGGATTAACCATATATTACATAGTAACTAAAATCACCATTAATTATGCATGGAGCAAGTCTATAATGTAAAATTTTGTTGATACCCAAAATATCAATACAAACAGGAAATATTAAAGGAACTTACATGCTTCAAGTGAATGATACTCTACGTGTCTGAATTTTATCGAAGTCATCAATAAGTTTATCTATTGTAAACTTCATTGCTATCTCCTTTTCAATATAAGTTATTAATTAAGCAATTTCTTACAAACCTATCTTCCATCTTATTTCGAAGTCTTGTTTTAGCAAGTTTCATTGTAGAGAAGACAGGCTCTGTTGTTGCTGTGAACAGGTAGGGTTAGAACAAGCCGAATTAAGCTACCAAGAAAAGTAGTATCAGCATTTAAAAAAAATAATAATAAATGTAATGAACTAAATTAAAAGAATAAATATTTCATACCGTCGATCAAATAATAATCATCTGATTTTCCAGTTTCAGCTAGTCGACGACAAAGATCAACAATTGTTGTCAAGTTCTAAAATCTAGGATTTGTAGGTAAATCAAGTTCATAATATTGTAGTTGATGTCCCGATGTATCTCTTTCTTGCTCTTAAAAAATAGTATGGTAGAATTTTAGGGTCAATTGCGTTCCTGGATCGCTTGCTTTCTTGCAAAAACGTTCAATTGTCTTCCTTTTAGGTTTCATGATTATCCTTCGAAGTTCAAAATAAGAAAATGACAGTGTTTGGGTCATCCATTAACGACGTTCAGGCGTTAACTTCTCTAGTTTCTAACTCCTACGGTTGATCCTAGCTAATATCCTATTGCTTCATTTGCTTTAAAAAATAACGTACCTGCACTGTACGTGACCTGCTGGGTACAGGTACAGCATACCAACTGCCGCAGCCCCGGACCCGGAGTGCTGCTGTGCAGCGTGCTACGGATCGGAATTGCCTTGGGCAGTCTGGCTGTCCACGAGCCTTCATCCTTGGGCGTTCTGCACTTCTGCTACGAGCGGGGGCGGCCCAAATCGCAATAAACAACGGTTGACGGATCGGGACGTCGCCAGCACCACGTCCGGACGCCCTACGTCTAGTGCTTGCACTCCAGCTGCCCGCATGCTGCTGCCGACACATGATGCTTTGCTCACCAGCCACATGCAGGAGAGAGAGAGCAGCCGAGCATGGATGCTCTTTCGTGCTCCACGTCTGCTGCCACACCCGCTTGGTTTCCCTCTGCCTGTGCACACTAGCCGCGCCTGCTGACTTGCAACATAAAAGCATTTGTTTGTAACATACGTCCCCAGAACATTGAGATCTACTTTTTACAACATCTAGATGGAACACTTGCAATACTGAGTCTAAAACAATCAAAACACGCTTGAAACATGCATATAGAACCATAGCAAATATATACAACATCTAGATAAAACACTTAAAACATATGTTTGAAACACCTAAAATGCTTAAAGCATAGGCTTGCAACATGCATATATGGTTATTGCAACATCGCAGATCTACTTTTGCAACATCCGGATGAAACACTTGAAACACAAAGTCTGAAACGTCAAGGCAGCCCATAGCCTACCCGTGTGGAATTACGGTAGCCACAAGTTCGGGTCATGGGGACATCGAGAGCAGCGGTGGGCGACCTCCTCCAGTGTGCACGGTGCACGTCGTAGAAGGCGATACCGAGGTGGACGGGGCGCGACAGGGCGCCCCCACGCGACGGGATGGTCGCGACAGAGTGGGGTCAGGTGGATGGCGCGTTGGCGCCAAGAAAGCGGATGACACGGCAGACGCGACGCCATGAGCGGCCAACACAGGTGGAAAGCTGCCGCTGCAGTCGAGAGTGGGGATGTTCGCAGCAACCAGATGAGTTAGGGAGGCCATGAAAGTGGAGAAATATTTGCAGCAAGCAGATGAGTTGGGGAGCCACAAGTATATTGTCTGTTTGAGCCCAATCCTTGACTGTAGATTTGGGCGTCTGAATGAATGCGTCCGGATGAACATCTTACCCACAGCATTATCGTTAGGAAGATTAGAGAGGCGATGGCAAATGATTTGTGTCAATCGCAGGCTACGGTCCAGATAAGGAAGGCAAGGAAAACTGAGGAAGTTGGGTACGGAAAATACAATAGTCCCGCGATGCACAGGAAAACTGGAGGAAAAGAAAAAAATAACACAGTGGAGATGCGGGGATCGAACCCCGTGCCTCTCGCATGCAAAGCGAGCGCTCTACCATTTGAGCTACATCCCTCTGTTGTTTTAATCGCAAGAAAAACTTCTATCTGAACTACCATAAGGTCAAACCCATACTTGAATACAGGTGACTGGATCAGTTACGTGTGGAATTAACACGGACAAAACGTAAACAAATGTTTTGTTCCGAAGTAACCATTTCCTCGGCACAATCATGTGCCATCGATCAACACACTTCAGAAGCCTTTGATGCTTCTGCATATATTTGATTTGAATTTGAATGCTAACTGTGTACATCTATTTCTACTATATTCAAATCACGAGCTCATTTTATTTTATATACAAGATCCCTCGCGCTATACTATACAAATGGCTTGTGCAGAGAAATTGACAATTAATTAGAAAAGAAGAAAGAAAACTGCACATTGCATATTTTGCTATACAAAAATCAAAGCAAAAACAAGTTGTATACAGTGAGGAAGAAGTCTTGTCTAGCCATTTTTCTTGTAGATCATATCGAGGTACCATGACCATGCAGGGGCCTATTCACTCTGTTTGCTCTCTCTTCTAATTGTAAAAGATCATTAGTACTGGCGATCTGACAGGATGGAATCACTCCAGGAAAGCATGAAATCACGTGCAACAGATGGTAAATCTGCATGAAAGCATAAGTAAATTCATCACACTTAAACCATAGAGGATGTCTTCCAATATCACAGGAATAAGCAAGCAGAATCTGAATATTTCATCAACTTACCCTGAAGAACCTCAAGGGCAACTGAAGGCATATCTATTTGATCTTCGACCAGTCTGTATACATCCACAAGCTGCGAAAGAGGAAACGAATTACAGTCATCCATTGAGCACTCAAATCAAATATATTTTACAGGAACATCCACCATTTACGGACAGAGTACCTCTTCTACGTGCAATTTGGAGTCTTCAGTGAAGGCCAGTATAAGTTGTCTCCTGATACCAGCATCGATAAGGAACATCCGTGCTCCATCTTTTATTGTTTCAGTGAGATCAAGTTTGCTCTCTAATTGTCGATTTCTTACAGCTTGCCTGACAGTTCACTGGATCAGAAAGCTTCTAGGACGAATAACATACACAGGAAAGAAAGACAGTGTTTCCAATACTAACGAACTATTCTTTTTCAGTGCAGGGTTGCTGCTCATCTTGGACACATTCTCCTTGGCAAGAACTATAAGGTTTTCTAGTCGTTTCCACTGGAATGCCCCATCTTTGAATAGCACCTGCACAGGGGGGGAAATGAGAAAAGTGCTAAAAACCATAACATGGTACAAACATTTGTAGTAATGCACTTGAACATGCATTTGAACCTTTCCATTTCCACAGCATAAAGTTTCCTTTTCTTTTCCAGTACCGATGCTTAAATTGACAATTTGGTTCACATAGTCCTTAAGTTGTGTCAATAGGGTCTAAACAAGTTACCTGAATCAGGCGTTCACGGAGAGCAGGGTTTGGATCTGTCAATAGACGCTTTGCTATATATGGATAGGCAACCTAAATATGAAGAAACATACAAGAAGGATGTTAGTAACCAAAGAATGCTCATTGCTGTTTTCTTTGGAGCTCAAATGGTAGCACATGCCAATACGCCATACCTCAAGAAACTTAAAATCACGCTTTAGTGTAAAGCAGATTCCTTCTTGCGTCAACAATGAACGAATAACCAAAGAAAACCTTTCTGGGATGCGGATTGGATAGTTGTACACAAGCTGATTGAACTTCCCTGTGATTTTGATTTTGATTAGATAATGAAGTATATCTTCCCTCAGATATTTTTTAAAGGAGTAAGTAGCATTCACCATACAACAACTTGTATGGTTGTATCACTTTAGTCCAATAGCTTGCAAAATGTGCAAACTAGTCATGTACTATGGTCCAAATACACACGAAGGAGCATCTGTGATAAGCTGGCAATATGGCATGGACCATAAATTGGCTTTATGCACATAAACCCATATTCGTTGCTTTTTTTCTGAA